GGGGGGGGGGGTTTCGGGGTAGGGGGAACCTCCGCTCCGGGACGGGTAGTCTCCCGTCCCGGAGGAGGAGAGGGTCCCACACGAGTAGGCATTGCACGCCGGTCTGGCAGCCGAAAGTGTGGGACACCCTCGAACCGTTCCTACTCGGGCCTCGGCCTGGGTAGGGTGAGGAGAGGTACCCACACCCGGGATTGCACGTCGGTTGTTTCCGTCAACCCGAGGGGTGGAGGGGTGCGCGGGCCGCTCGGACATATTCCGAGGTCGGGGTCGCGCACCCTGGGATGACCATCCCGTCGGAGCTATCCGGAGATTCCCTCCGGGCCGGCGGGACGGGAGGTGGAGTCGCAGGGACCGGTACATTGGCCCTCCCCACATTCTGTAGAAAGGTGCCGCACCCCGGCAACCCTGCGACTCCTCCTGGTCACGACCGCATTTCGCGGCGTGACCGGCCGTGATGGTCTCCCCGTGTGGGCAGCTGCGCACGGGGTTCCTCAGGGGTCGGCGTGACATTTGCCAGGACCCCTACAGCGGTGGTCCGAACAACGTCGGACCTGTGCTCACATCGTAAACCCCCGAGGTCGTTATGTCATGTCTATGACGATCTCCGGAGGAACGAGGGCCTTGGCTTAACCGCCTGGGCTGCGAGGATGGGGACCTCTATAAAAAACCCCCACAATCTCAAGTTTTGCGCCGCGGCGAGGAGATGGATGGCCGGCAAGTTAGTCGGTCACTAGCAGTCCACCCCGGGGCACCTGGCGAACCCCGGGCGTATAAATCGCCCGACCCCAGCCAAGGGGGCACCGGCTGGGGAGTATCGAGTTCCTCCCGATTTTAGAGCCCGCCCTGTACGCTTTCGGGTCATAAGGGGTTGGCAACTCAAGAATGGCTAATCTCAATATAAAAAAACCAGACGTAGTGGAGGGTGAGGGAGAGGTGGAGGCGGAGGCGTATGCCTCTATACTTTGTGGGCGGAACATACCCATAGCTGCGCCGTCTAACAGCGCAGCGGGACGGATTCCGACGGCCGAGGCCACAGCGGAATTAGAGATGGCGTTCAATGGCCCTCTTAGGGATAAAGATCTTGGGGCGACCTACGGCCCTGAGAGCACAGGGGATTCGGCCGGGCCACCATCAACCCAGTCAGGGCCCCCTGGAGTGGGAGCATTCTCCCGTTATGCCTATTTATTGAGGCTACGCGGGGGGGCGGAGTCAGAGGACTCGGACCACGAGGGGAGGGAGGATGAACCCACAACCTCCACACGGGCGGAGGCGTCGAGCCGCTCTGGCACGGCAAAAAACAGGGTTGCACACACGGCGAAGGGCAAGAAGAGGAGGATCGACTCCTCTGCCTCGTCCTCTGACCGCGAGATGGAGGTTGTAGAAGAGCTCCCGGACACGGCCTCCTCCTCGGAGGGTGAGTGGGGGTTGATGTTTAGGAGGAAAAAGAAGGATGGGAGGGGACGCC